AGCATCCTTTATTTTGATATTTTTTTCTCCTGATAAAAAGTAAACTATACGTCTCCGTACTTCATATATATAATAATTCGTCTTATCTTTCTGTTTGATCAATTACTGCTGACCCACATTACGAAAGACAGGGAAACGAGACCCTCACTGTTCATGATCTTTTAAGATTTTGTACGTTTTGTACTGTAAAAGGAGAATCGCATTGTTGTATACCTTTGTGTCCTCTTTTTTGTTGACCATATCGTATTCTACTAGTTCAGTCTTTATGAGACTAACTTTGCCGGCATTTGGCGTCCCAAGCAGCTTTGCAGCCTCAACAGGATCGACGGATTCGTACGAGTTCTCTGGTTGGTTCCTTTGAATTAACAAAAGTAGTCAAAAGATTTGGAAAAAAAAAGAGACCATTGTATTATAATGAACGCCCATATAGGCCACTTGAATAATCACATATTAAGTGGCACATTTAGGGACAGAATATCAAAAAACATAACGTGATTTCAATAGATGATTAAAAAATAACGCTTACAGGGCGTTTTTCTTGGGCTTTTCAGAATCTAAAAAGAAAGAAGAAAAAATGCATCAACCAGCTGGAATGACCGTTATAAACAGCGCACAGATTGTTCACAGTGTCTTATTTCCCCATAAAATTGTCCAGCGCCTATACCGTAACGTCATGTTTTGCTCAAATGTTCCAGAAGGCGGATACATTTTATAATCTTTGCCCAAGCTACACTCGGGCGAGACTCGCTACACTGGCTAGTCACGATAAGCCCTAGATCTCGACGATCTCACCGATAAAGTGAGGGGTCGAATAGTGCACTGAAAACCATACCTTTGCACTCGGACTCGTAGTTATTTGAGACGTCGATAGTGAAATTCACAATATAAACCTCTATTTGTCGGAAAAAAGAATTTTTTAAAGTCTTCTAAGGCAACTGAAGCCTAAGTAAAGCGATTTAATATGGAGCTGAGAAAAGGTTCAGTATAGGCCTTTAATTATGAATCTGGAAGTAACGACTACAAAGGAAACAGCCAGGTAATACCAATTTTCAAGTTCAAGAAAGTCATTGAAATTAACCCTCGGACATACATGCAAATTCATACCCCTACCGTGGTACAAGGGGGGTGTTGGTTGATGGAACCACTCCTTAGAATTTTTGATATGTTGCCATATTTAGAAACGATTTTGCCTTCAGTGGAATGGCTTTGATCTTCTCAACAAGATGAGGTATATTTTATGGGTGGTGGCGCTGCTGGAGGCTTGTGACGTCATCAACAATGGTCGCCATCTTGGATTTTACCAAGAATTAGAAATCAGGATAAAACCGCGAGAAATGGTAATTTTTTTTGTGCTTGACGCGAAAAATAACACAAAATAAGCACTTTGCATCACTTTAGCCACAAGATTTACTTTTATTGTTGAAAGAAATTCAAAAAACATGTATTTTCACCCAAAAATGGCTTGACCACCTCCTACTTATGGCGTCATATCTCGTAACCATAGAAACTCACCACCACTAAACTTGTCTCATAATGCGCGTGAGGGATAAACAAACAGCTACTGAAAACGTCAGGTGCTGATGTTTTATCGTCTAGGAAAAAAACTCAGAAAAACATCAGAAGGGAAGGTGGCAACCCCCCTTCTTACGTCCGAGGGTTAAATTCAAGCAAGGTTACCGGACCAATAACACAACCGGTACACATTTTTTGATGGAAAATATGGCATAGAGATATCATGCAGACGGCATAACCTTTCAACAGATGATGTATATGGAAAAAGCATTTATACCTTTCGAACTATGCCGCCTTCTTCGCTTTAGCAAAATCAAAGCAGCAAGTGCAATTAGTGCTACAAATAGCACTGTTCCCAGTGACGCTGCTACAATGACAACTGTGGACGAATGTTTTGCTGCAGTTTTTCGCTCACTTAAACTCGACGTTCTGGCCAAAGTCGTAATATCTGCCAAGAGAAGAATAGAATAGTTACTGCCTGATTACGTACTTCTTTCAGGTTTCCAGGGCGTATACCACTAGAACTTCAAGAATAGAAAATCACCTAATGATTACTGTACGTCAGAGTCAAGTTTTAGTTCTGTGAGCAACGTACACTATCGACCATCGGCACGTTGTTCTTTTATTTCCAGATGTTAAAGCTAATTAAATTTTTAAAATTTGTATTAGTTATTTGTTTTATTTGATTAGTTGTTTATCTAGCCATCCAGATCTATATCTATTTATTCATCTAGGCGGTTTGAAGTATGTTTCTGTGAATCATGGACACTTGTATGACCTACGAAAACCCGCAATGAAGATTAAAGATACATATAACAGTGCAAACCTGAAGAAAAATAAGTAGTATCTGCTATGTTGAAACTTGTCGTTTCTTTCGTAGTGGCTGTTACTACTGGCGTTGCTATTGTTGTTACAACTGGATTATGATGCATACAAACTCCTTCACAGGTGTCTGGCGTTAAAAAACAAACAAAAAAACGTAAAGAAATAAAGCTGATCGGCCCGATAACTCGAACCTCGCGCTAACTCGAAGTAATTTTTGCTTCCCTTCAGATGATTTCTATATAATTTTACCCGGCTCGATAACTCGAACCATGTTTAAAACGTGTCACAAGTCGATCGGAAAAGAAGAAAATTGTGCACTGCAGTCCAAAACAGAATTTAATACTTCAAAACAACTTTGTATTCTTTGTCGTTTCAGTTTAGGTCGTCAGTCCAGTTTAACTACAGTGTCCACCCCTGTATATCAATGAAACTTTGTTGCCCAATTCCTTATTTCCTCATTTCCGGTTACTTGCTTCTAACTCCCGATAACTCGAACCTTTTTAGATTTCCCTTGAAGGTTCGAGTAATCGGGAGTCGACAGTATGGCTTGTCTAGAAGACGGAATACAAGTTGTAGACAGCGTGTAGGCCATGATCCCGGATACCAGTTATGCTCTTGCCAAAGACAGCAGCTGAATTAACCTGATCCTATATACAAAAGTCCTTGGAAATTCTCCCGCATCTAGTATTGTTTCGATACCCAGTAGTTTATCACAAAGTAGGCCCAGAAGTTACAGACAAGGCATTTGAAATCGTACCCTAATATAATTTTCTAAATGTATGTTTCCTTTTCAAATTACTATTTCTTGCACGTCTGGTTCTGTCTGAAGATGATGTTAAGATTTGAAAGGCTGAAGTTGCTTTCTTTTTTACCTCGTATCGTCCTCCTTTGTGTTAGACTTAGGCTACGTTTACACTATACCGGATTTGATGTCTGTACTGATGAGCGAACCTGCGCCGCGCTGATCTATAAATTGGAGGGTCACATATCGGATATTTAGGTCTTCACACTATATACTGGATAGCATCTCGTGTCTGCACGAAAAGATATCCGGTGTGGTGGTGAGTTAGACATTCCGATTAACGATAACTGGTGAACGGAAATTGCATTCGGGATGCGTGACTCTCGCATATGGACATGTGTATAAGTGATAGAACTGGTATGTATTGTAGAATGATTGCCAGTGACTGTTACGAGCTACTGGAGTCTACGAATCAATTTGTCACGTGATTTATAGTAGGAATCACGCTTTCTCGCTTTCATCATTAAATAAATACATTATATGAAGACCTGCAAAGAACTTAGCTACACCACAAGAATCTAAAAAAAGAAAAATATAATTGATAATCACACCTGTTTCTTCCTCGCATATCCAGGCTCTTTTAATGTCGCCTCTGATGCTGTTAAATTTCCCATAAGAACCTCTGGGATATTCTTTAGCAATGAGAGCGTAGACACTGTTTCCACTAGGTTCAGAATCCTGCCATTTCGTTATAGTCAGCGGTTTACCGTTGACCCAAGTCCAGTTATTAACTGTTCTATTCCAAGACAACCCTATGTGCCACTCATTTTTTTTTGTTGTGCGATTCTTGAGCTCATTCGTGATAAACTGCCACTCACTCTCTGTTTCCATGGCCACGAGATCTTTCTGGTTATATGTACAAGACTTCCTTGCTTTCGGCCACGTCATTGATAGATCACTTTCAAAACTGTAACAAGAACAAGCTTTCTCGCCATCTGGCTTAGTTAAAAGAAAAACAATTCAATAAATTTACTTTGCTATGCATAGCTTCATCATCGACCCTAATAAATCAGGCCCGTAACCACGGGGTTGCAAGGGGTGCGTTCGCATCCCCCCCCCCCCCACTTCCCACCCGTAGGCCCCAAAGGTCCGTATTTTGATACTTAATATCCAAGTTAAGGAGTGCAGTCGGTTAAACTGAAGTTTCAAACTTAACAGTGATATTTAAACAAAATCAAAGAATGGAAAAAGCAGTAGTCTATTCACTGGGAAAATAAAACCAGCTGCACCCTAGTAGCCCGAGCCATTCAGACCATTTCAATGAGCGCACAGATATCTGAGCTTATCTAAATGAATAATGAAATTAACGTGCGCACGCTTTGCACGGGCGTTTACGACGAGCGAGCCAATGACAAGGGAGCGATCTCACGATTTTTGTCAGACACGTCCGCTAACGCGTCGGGTAGAATATATTCGTATTCTCTATTTGTACGAGCGCATGAACGCCCGAAGATGCAAAACAAGACGCCTAAAGTCGTTTCCGTGGGATGCGTTGATCCATGGAAGCATAATGGCGTTATCTGAATTTGGAAAAATTAGGGAAACCGGAAAGATGTGTCATGTTATGAGCATCGATGAGTAGGTTACCTGTATGGGTTATTTTAATGTGCTTACGACTGAATTTATAGAAGCCTGCGTGGCAGGCTACTGTTTCTCCCCAATCCACATCCCCTTTTTGCTTCCTCCCTATCCCCTACCCCTTTCGACACCTGCTACGCAAGCTAAATTTATAGTTGTCAGTGGTCGCAAGGATGGAGTTGATCTTGTTTTGATCTATCGCTATGTAG